ATTCGTACAACATTTATCACTTCCAAACCTACGTGAAAATCATCCAAGACGATTAAAGCAAAAGTGGCCCCGAAACCTTCTCTTTGTGTGAAGACTGAACAAAATATCAGTGTGAAGGAGTACCACTCGGCCATTCTCAAGATCCAAAATGGCCTAAACTCCATCAACGAATGGGCCCATAAAAATTCCCTAGTCCTCAATCCGACCAAATCCAACGCCATAATTATCGGGTCCAGGCAACTCCTCAATTCCCTCCCCAGCATCCCACCTCTCATGCTAAATAATCATCCCATCCCCTTCTGCTCTTCGGTTAAAAACCTAGGAGTAGACTTTGACCAAAACCTTTCCTGGCATTCTCACATTTCCCAAATTTCCCGCCATTCTCAGCCTGTTTCGTCGGTCCTGGCTTCTCTTACCTTTCTCCACCTGCAAACTCCTTGTATCTTCCCTTATACTTCCCTTCTTCGATTATAGCAGTTTGGCATACGGTGGTCTCTCGGAGGGGGAGAACGCGCGATCGAAGCGTATTATGAATTGTCGCATAAGATTTGTGTACGGCACCCCACGGAGATCCCGAGTGTCGGGGTTGTATTCCCACTTTCCTGGCTATTCCCCTCCTTCCGTGCATAGTGTTTCCTAGGTTGCTTTCTTTTCCAGTCCATCCACACTCGTCATCCTCCTTACATCATCCAACCCCTCCAATTCAATTCCTCACATCTCACTCGTAAGACCCGCTCATCCCCAATCGACCTTATCCTTCCGCAACATACAACCCATACCTTCGAAAGATCATTTCTGTTTCGAGCCCCTAAACTCTGGAACGCCCTTCCCCTTTTTATTCGTCACGGTGCCTCCTTTTCCTCCTTTAAATCCCACCTGTATAATCAGCTCCTCTCCCTCCAAGCAGAGACCTCACGTTAACATTTGTTATTTTTGTTTAATATTCTCGTATTTTTTTCTTCTGTCCTGCCTTATTGGTATACATTGTGCCAAGATTTCTATCTTTTTTTTTACTTTTAACTTCATAGAAGGAACTTCTTTTATTTATTTCATGTAAATTATTCTTAGGGGACACCAGTCCCAGAATAAAGTTATTTTTCTTCTTCTTCTTCTTACCACTGGGCAACTTCTCCTACAAGAGCCTCAAATGAAAATTCAACATATACGAACATATTTACTTAATACCTCACTTTTAGTTGTAAATATCAAATAAATGTAATAAAAAAATTCAGAATTTTAAAAAATTGTTTTTATTTAACTAGAAAATGTTTTTAAAAGCATTGATGTAAACAAACTAAAAAACAATAATTTGCGTTATTTTTCTCTCAACTTACTGAACAATTTTTCCGTCTTTTCACCAATTCTTCATAGATGATTTTATTTATATATATCTAACGATTGACGAATTTGTCGAGTAGGGGAATCGCTTTGTTCGTGGCCGATGTCACATGGTTTGAAAGGGTTGGACCGGCATTAAGACCGTAGTGATTTCTGAGGGGATCGGTCCAATTACAATGGGGTAGGAACCGTCTCTCTCTTCCTACCACTTTAATTGATACAAAACCCTCCTCCCATCCTTCAAATAATCCTCTTCTGCCACCCCCCAGAGAGCTCTTTACAAGATCGGATTTACTTACTGCTTAGCTTCGACATGTCATTTCCCAGATGATGTCTCTTCTACTACTTACATTGCGACCGGTGGAACTTTTATCCTGCTGGGACCCCTCCCCCGGCGATATTAATAAATACAAAGTATGAGAATATCTTAAAAAGTAATCTTCTTTTTCCCTTGACTATTACATGTAGAATATCTCTGCTTCGATGTTTTTTTTTTCAAATTGCACATTTTTTAATGAAAGCGGTAAGAGGAAAAAATGTGTATTGAAAGCCAAATAAATAAAACGAGAGAGAGAGAAAGAGAGAGAGGGTGGAAGAAGGGAAGGAGGGAGATAAAATGAGTCAAAAATACATGCACCAAACGAAGGGGTGAGAAAGAAAAAAAGAGAGAGGATTAGGAAAGAGAAAGAAAGAGACATTCAAAGGGACACATAGAGATAGATAGATTGACAGAGAGGGAAAGATAGATAGAGATAAATAAATAAATATAATGAAAAAGATAGATAAATGGAAAGATAAATAAAGGTAGAAATAAATCAAACAAACAAACGAACTGCGAGATTGATTGTGTGTTTATGAGATATAAAATGGTAAGAAGGAAAGGAGTTTGAAAATAAGGAAGAGGTTGGGGTAGAATGAAATAGAGAAATTAGAGAAAGAGAGATAGAGATAGAGGAAGATCAAATGTGTCAAAATTACATAAAAAAGAAAAAGGATTAGATGATTAAAATGAGAGATGATGATAGAGAGAGAAGAATAAATGGAAAGAAGGTGAAACAAAGATAGAGAGAATGAGAGAGAGTGAGAGGGAGGGAGATTAAATGAGTCAAAAATACATGCACCAAAGGAAGGGGTGAGAAAGAAAAAAGAGAGGGGATTAGGAAAATGGGTGAAAGAGATATACAGAGGGACACGTACAGATAGATAGATTGATAGAGAGGGAAAGAAGATAGAGATAAAAGTAAATAAATATAATGAAAAATGAAAAAAAAATGAAAAGCTGGGAAATGACACTAACTTTGTTATTTGAAATGAGAATCCTATATTTTTATTGTACAATTCGATTCTAGAGTTCATTTTATGCCGCTTTTACTGAAAGGAAAATTTTGATAGGATCGACCATTTCTGAGTTATGCCCGACGGATGACAGCTAAATGAGAAAGTTATGTAAAATCTGTTACCACCTCGCGATTCCTAGCCAAAATTAACTTAGGTTTTGTATACGACCATTTTGTCTTAAAGTTAATCGTTTCGGAATTAAATGGATGGACTATAGAAGTTGATACGACCTGTATATTTGTGGCAACCTCTCATTGAAATTGCATAGGAAAATCTATAAAATACAAATACGGTTAATACAAATCGGCATTTTTACAGCATGAAGTTGAAAAAAAAGTTGTACGTTGGGAAATGGCATTCGACTTGGTATTCTTTACCCGGCTTGGCTCAACAGGTCCAGCACTCCACCTGTTGAGTGTCGAGTCGTGTCCTGGCCCCTTTCCTCCGACATTAATTCCCTCACTTCGACATCAAACCGTCCTACTAACATTTATGCATTTCCCCTGTCGTCAAATGGGACGGGGAGGAAAAACATTTTTTTCATTTTCCGCGTCAATCTATATTCTGTCCGAATACACCCTGGGAGTGGATTTGAGTTTTAAGGACTTTTTTAACTCGAGTAGTGCGCTTGAATCCTAAGAAAAACCACAACTACCATAGCATAGCAACTAGTTCACTTGTAAATATTCGAAAATGATTTGTTCAAAACTTAATAACTCATAGAAAAATATGAAAATCACTATTTTGACCACATTCTTTATAATAAATACGACACCCGCTATTGATCATCTCATTGACTGACGTCTGCCTTGTTCTCTCGAGCTTTTAACTCATAAACTATTAGATTATCCATCTAGGGTGGGGAACCAGCAAAAAATCATACTCTTGTTTTCTGCCCCTGCCTGTCATTTCTTATATTTTTAATGCCTGTCTGCCTCTGTCTCTCTCTCACACGCTCTCCCTTCCTCTTTCTCTCCCTGTATCTGTGTTTCATCGTTTTTAATTCTAATCATTTAATCCTCTCTCTCTCTCTCCCTCTCTCTCTCTCTCTCTCTCTCTCTCTCTCTCTCTCCCTCTCCCTTCCCCCTTTAATTTAAAAAATTGAAATATATTATGATATATGAAATAAATTATTTGCTTCAATGCGATGCGTCTATGTTAATTGTTATAAATAATATTAAACATATAATAATAAATAATTTGACTTTATTTAAAAAATTGAAACATGCATTTGTAACTTCAATAAGTAATACAATGTTCTCGCATTAAAAATATTGAATACTAAACCCGCATGTCCGATACGTTTTGCGGAACTGTATAACAACATTTTATTAATATTATTATATGTACCTAGGAAAAATAAACCAATTTAAATTGAATTAAATGTTAAGAAAGTACTTCTACCTCTATTATCCACCCACCTATCTATCGCCATGTCTCCCTCTGTCTGTCTGTAAGTTCTCTCTCTCTCTCTCTCTCTCTCTCTCTCTCTCTCTCTCTCTCTCTCTCTCTCTCTCTCCCTTCTTCTCCCTCTTTAATTTAAAAAATTGAAATATATTATGATATATGAAAAAAATTATATTTTAGCTTCACTAAACAATACAATGGGCTCGCATTAAAAATATAAAATACTAAACCCGCATGTCCAATAAGATTTGCGGAACTGTATAACGATATTTTTTTACTATTATTGTATGTACCTAAGTAAAAATGAACCCATTGAAATTGAATTAAATTTAAAAAAGTCTTTCTACCTCTATTATCAACCTATCTATCGCCATGTCTCTCTCTCACTCTCTTTCTCTCTCTCTCTCTCTCTTTCTCTCTCTCTCTCACTCTCTCTCTCTCTCTCTTTCTTTCTTTCTCCCGCCCTCTTTCCCCTCCCCATCTCCCTCAGAGTAACAGAATGGTTCCACACAAGCGACTATTTTAGAACTACATTACAACACGCAAAGTTTCTTTATATTTACCTTTCATTAGTTTTTACAATGACGAATATTCTAACCTGGTTAACCAAATTGATTTTTGCGATTTGTGCTCGGCCAAACTCCCATTAATAAAGATAAACTAGGCATAATTCTAAGGAGTTTATAAGTATAAATTGGCCTACATTATTTAATGGCAATTTGTATTAAACAGACTACATTGACATTACAGTCTAAATTAACCTAAGTGAGAGAAAGAGCGAGAGAGAAAAATTTCGGTCATAACTCTTCTATAATGTTCGCAGTTTCCAATTCACACTACTCTCCATGATGGAATGGTGCTCGATCATAATTAAAACGGTTTCAAATAAATATTTCCTTTGTTTCTTTTTTCCTCAGGAGCCTTCTTGGTCCCGTACTGCATCATGCTTTTCGTCGGGGGCATCCCGCTTTTCTACATGGAGCTGGCACTGGGGCAGTTCCACAGAAAAGGGGCCATCACATGTTGGGGCCGGATTGTTCCGCTTTTTAAAGGTATGTTTGTCATTTATTAGTCAATTATACTTATAACGTGACTGTAATGTTTCTACGGACTTGATGAGGCTTCTAAGTAACCCTATGTGCATGATTAGAGTACTTAATTTAATCAGCCATAAATGACTTAAAATGAACGAAACTTCGTTTTGTTAAGAACGGTATCATTTAGTGCCACTTAAAGAAACTTAAACAAAACATTTATTTCATTCATCTCATCCTCAAATGACTGTAAGTTTCATCAACATTATACAGCCGTTGTTCCGCAAGGGTAAACCTTTGCCCCACTACTTTACCGGTCAAATAAATAAATAAAAACCCAATGCTTAATATATCAGGACAACCTGTTCGATGTAAATAGGTATAATAAGTTGGAATCCTCGAACCAGATTCAAACCGAACATGTAATTAAATTGTCTTACAATACAAAACTAACACCCAAATGTGGGCTACTCATTGACCTAACAAAGTCCATAGGCTGCTATCGCATTCAATCCTTTTAATCCAAAGTTGAATGTCAACACAAAGAGATAACATAATAAAATTTGTGGCAGTTGTTCTGCGAGTCAAAATCTAAAATATTTTAGTCATATTTTCTCCTCATGAACCCTCATTTACCCAACAGTGAATGAACCTTCACTAATTGTCGTGGTCCATTTGACCAATTAATATATTTCAATTAATTAAGGTTTTTAGTTGAGATAAAAAAGTCGATGTCACGAGCGGGATTCGAACCCACGATCTTCGGCTAGATACGCCGCTGCTGTACCACTTGAGCTGTCGATATTTGACTTTTTATCTCAACTAAAAACCTTAATTAACTTAATTATATAATTTGTATACTGGGCGATATTTGCTCGTCACCCTGCAGTTTGAAAGTATTTATTAGCATTCGGAAATCGTGAGATGCGGTCTGGTGTGATGTAGGTTTCAGAAAAACATTTTCTTTATCGTGCCAACGTTTCGATCTTTATTGAGATCATCTTCAGGGCCCGGGATTTACAAACAATGTTTACATTTAACAATTACATTTAGGATGTGGAAAAGTGAATTTATACATTGCAAAATATATTTTATATTCAAACAAAGTATTTCTACTCATTCAAAGTGTTTGTATTCTGTGTAATTGTGCCATCCTTGCGTGTCGTGTTGAGAGTGCCAGTGAGATTTTGCTGTTTTATGTTTATATATGTTTGGTTTTGAAGGGGGAATATATGTTTTTCTGAAACCTACATCACACCCGACCGCATCTCACGATATCTGAATAACTATCAAAAATAAATCATTATACTGGGCCGGTTAGTCTCGCTGTTTTTTATTTATTTTTTCTTTAAATTTTATATTAAAATAAAACAAAATCTGTTATATAAAATAAAACAAAATCTGACACTATAAAATAAAATAAAAATTTTACACTGTGATTCTAGTAGGGCCTATGTGCAGAAAGGTCGCGTTTCAACTGTCGCTTTAATCTCCTAAGGGGATTGTTGGGGATAGTTCGGGATGTTTGGTTCAAAACTAAGGGATTGGGGTGGAATGAAAAGGAGCTGTGGAATTTTACATACATATCGGGATTTTACTACTACTCTTTTTTCGGAAAATTTTAGAAAATCAGGATGATGATAGTTGGATTGTTTCGTTGAACCCCACAGTGTAATGCCGTAATGCCAATTGGATTTAATTATCGTCTCGTCTATCAATCGTTTGTTGTGAAGCGTCAGTTTTGATCGTTTGTCAAGAAGTCGTGAGAGTGTTTTGTAACGTTTAGCCAGTTCCTGCTTTTTTAATGTTGTATGTGGGTTTTTCGTCAGTTTTTCGTCGATATACAGCGGACATGATTAACTATAGGAAAAGGTGTATGATGTTAGTTCAGTGCTGTCATTATTCCACGAGGAGTTAAATGTTTGCTTTTGTCTGCATTTATTTTTATCCGCCAATTTTCAGCCAAGGTTCTATCTTAGTTAGGTGAGGCTGTAAGAAGCGATTTGAGGAGGCGGGATCTTTTGGAGAGTTGAATCGCAAAAGTGTGAATGATACGGGATGGGTAGGTCAGCAGTGTACGTTGAATCAGGATGGGACCAAGAGTACTACCCTTTGGGACTCCAGCGTTAACAGGAGAAAGATATTCCCTAGCTGACCTTAAAGAAGCGGTAAAGAAACCCACACCAACACAAACTTTCAGCACTGCGACACATGATACACAGACTAAAAACAATCCTCTCAACACCGAAAACTACAACAAAGAACTACAAACAATAACAAACATTGCAAAAAAACGGATACAAAACAAACACCATACAGAAACTTCTAAAAAACAAAACAAAACAACGAAACACAAATGGACAACATTCACATACACAGGAAAAGAAACCTACAAACTAACAAATCTGTTCAACAAACTCGGACTGAAAACAGCACTAAGGACCAACAATAACTCAGGTAAACTACTAAAAAGAAACATAGACACAACTAACCCGCTAGACAGCAGCGGTGTTTATAGCATCACGTGTAAATGCGGATACACTTACATCGGACAGACTGGAAGGAAACTAAGAGATCGATTGAAAGAACATCTTAGATCCTTCAGAGACAATGACGGAAAATCAAATTACGCCACACATTTAATACACTACAACCACGAACCAAACACAATAGAAACAAGCATGACATTAATACACAACGCACAAAAAGGACGAAAACTAAACATACGAGATATACAAACAAATAACACTTAAAGACGGAAAACTTATAAACGCACAAACAAACTCACAATCACACACCACCTTTACACTACTAAAAACACTTCATAACAAAAAACGAAAACGTTCAGAAGAACAAAACATCGCAACCAACACCAGGAAAAAACAAAAAACCAACAATGCACAAATAATAACTGACAACGGAAATAACCGCCACCAAGACCGACCAACGAGCACGGAGACCACGCCCTCTAACGCAACGCACCCAGCGACAAGCGACGGACGCAATACTGTATAAACCCTACTCAGACTAAATGACAGACAGTTTTTCACTGAAGATGGCGTAATGCCGAAACGCGTTTGAATAACTCAAACAAAAAACCCGCGAGTGAAGACAGACCCAGTAGTGCCCGTATGCCGGTTCAACATGAGTTCGCCAACTCGCAGACCAAACCCCATCATCTTCTTTATTTTAGTTTGTTTTCTTTCCATAGTAAACTCAAGCAGGTATATCGGAATCGAATGCAGGGCCGCTGGATTCGAACCCGAGACCTTTACCTTACAGTGATGAGCTCCGTGTCAACGCCTAAACCGTTGTGGCCACCGACACCCCCGCAGGTTTATTATGATTTTAATTCCTTATACGATAATAAAATGAGAAGCAAATGCTGAATGGAATCTCAGAAACAAACAGGCAGGGCGGTATATTTTTTAAAACAAACATTTTTCTCCCTTCTACAATGATTAATCCGTTTTAACTCGACTCATCAATTTCTTCTGGCCATTAATCAAATGTTATCTGACGACAATTCGGGTTAAAACAAACCTGTTAGTAGAGATTGAAACGTCGGCCCAAGGAGAGACCTGAAATTGTCGCCCCTCGCCCTCCGCCCTTTTCGACATGGGGCTTTTGAGATTTGAACAGGTTTGGACCATTGTACCGGCAAAACTCATTAATGCCGGCCAGTTTCCATCATTCATCCTGGAACAGAGAGACTACCCCTGGAAATAAATTTCGATCCGGGTGTCAATAACATTTTTGTATGCTTCAATGCCCCTGATAAAACCGCTTCGAGCCCCTTGGACTATTTATCAACTATTTTATACATTTAAAATCTTAACGTTATAAAATATAGATAGAATTTATATTTGATCAATATTGGCTAGATCTGATGTCAGATACTTGTCAGAAGTTTCTGATACTAAAAGTCGCTAAATTTCTATTTGTCAGCATTTTGTCAGCAACGTAAGCCAATTTTCTATTGACTCCTTTTTATTTTCGTATTCATAATAAACTCATATAATATTATTAAAATATTTTTCTGTCATATAATAGTGGAATCATTGCTGATTTCCCTTAGTGGCTGGAAACTTTCCCATTTTCTATAAAACAACTCATCACTAATCATCCACAAATGCTTTAAAATTAATTATTTAAAAAAATTAATTATTTCGCTGAGAAATTGTTCTAATCGACAAGCCTAACTTGGTAGTCATATTCCTTCTATTCCTCCTCTCACCGAACACAAGTAAAACCAATTCATTTATCAATATTTATGATCAAAAACTATGGTATTCAACCTGATCTGCATATTTATATGGTTTCATCATACCCAGCTTTTGCCTTAAAAAATTGTCTAACACCTGATTCTATGATTCTCTTGGAAACTCAGAAATTTATCCGCATTATTAAGCTTAGCTTTGGAGATGGCAGAAAAAAGCTATTTTTTTACCTCAGGAACACATCAAAAACAGTGTCTAATAAGCCAATATAATTAAAAATAATATATACAATAATAAACCAAATTTAAGCCTCCAACAAAAAAAAATTTCAAAGGGATTAACTTTTTTTTATATTGTCTCTTGTTAATTATTTCAGCAAAAAAGCTTATTCTCGTTGGTTTTTGCCTGTCAAGTTTATGTCTGAGCGCCTGATTTTGTTTAACTAACAAGGGGACGAGTGACGACCAGGTTGGTGGTTCACGGATTTGGACAAAACCTTTTTTTGATGATTCCAAAATATCGGACGGATATCCGTCACTACTTTTTCATGGGCCCTGGTTTCGCAAAAAAAAAAATTGAAGGTTGAAATTCGTTTTATAATGTTTTTCATTAAATCATCCGTTCTAGTTCCTCAAATCAACTAAGTGAATATATCATTTTACAGCATTTTTTTTTATGTCCATTGCTATAAAAATATAGTAAAAGCTATCAAAGTTTATAAATAACCAAAAAAATTTAAAAACGAAATTTTTCAAGCAAACTAGCTCATAAAAGTTTTGTTTTGTGAAACTATCACGA